AGACTGACTTCCCCAGTCAGTGAGAAAAGCACTGTGAGAGTTTGTTCTGAGAATGTTTCTGAGAAGGGATATTTCTCTGGAGTGGCTTCTCAGAGCAAATTTCTGTGCAGACTCAGTTCCTTAGAGCTCTGCTAATGACTGCAGTCCATGGCCCTAAAAGGAGTGGGGACTGTTCTCCCTTGTAGATCTAAGCCAGACAATCAGATTCGGTTTTCCTCTGCACCTAAAGTGGATTAGAACTTTAAGGGCAGAATTTCATTGTTAATACATTTGGGTGCTTTAGTAGCACATAAGAAGAAAGAAGCAAGATTGCCTGAGCAGAGCTTCAGCAGTCTGAGTACACACTCCAGCCTCTCACTTATGGCTCGTTTTCCTCCATCAGCCTGTGGCTCAGGTGCTTCTTCTTTGGTCAGTGACCAGTGAAGTTGGAGATATTTCTTGGTTGTTGGTATTTTCAGTCACCTTGTTCCTTTTTCAAAATTATAAACCATTTCAACCCTCAAGTTCTTATACAAAGTATAATCATATTGATAGACAGATAACATTGACATTATAGACATAGTGCAAATATTCAGGCATACATATTTCAGACCCCACCTCCATTAGGTTTCAACTTCTACCAGGTTACCTCCAGCACTTCCCATCCTCTATTTTATATTTTCTGTGGTATTTTTTTTTACCACCTAATATTGTATTTTATCTGTTGGTTTCTATCCCTACTAGAATGTAAGCTATTTAAACTCTATGAAGGCAGGGATTTTTACCATTTTATTCACTGCTTTTCCCTAGCACAATATTAGTTGTATAGTAGGTACTCAGTAAATATTTGTTGAATTATTACAAAAAATTTAGTAGAGAGTAAGTAGCACAAGGGGGCTTGTGTGCCCATCACACAGCTTAAGAAATAAAACATATATATGCATACATATATACAACATAAACATGGTTGAAGTCTCCATTCCATCTCACCACTTGCCTTCCTCAGAATAATCACCATCTTGGTTTAAAACTATCTTTAGGTTATTCACTTTATTTCAGTAACTCTTACTCTTTCTTCTTACCTCATTTTAGACAAATTAGAAAATACATATAAGCACAAAAGGAAAAAATACCCAATAATCCTACCTGCCCACTGTGTTTGAGTGCATTCTTATTCACTACAGGACCTTAGGCGAGGTTCTGAACCATGGAACCTTGATTTCTTCAGTTTCTCGTCTGTAAGTGGGAGATAACAATAAAATGTACCTCATGGGATTATAGTAAGAATTAAATGAAAGTCCACATAAAGAACTTAGCAGTCGTGCCCAGCACATAGCAAGCATATAGATGGTGGTGATTATGTAGCCTTTCATATGATTTCATCATTCCTTTTTGAATATAGACCTTATGTCCCATGTGACTTTAGGATGGGTATGGGAAGCACCCAGTCCTGGTTGAGGGGCTTCCTCACTAACCAGTGGGCTTATAGGCAACCTAGAGCACACGTTTTCATTTGCAGAAGACAACATGGGGCTGCCGTGCTCTGACTGCTGTTTGCTCTCTCCAGGTGAAGAACATCATCTATCATGCAGTGAAAGATGCTGTTGGCACCCTCAAGGCTCATGAATCCAAACTGGCAAGGTCTTAGGCGTGGAGAAATTCCAAACTCCCCTGTGAAGCAGGTCTTTCACTCACACAAACAGGGAACGGCAGGGTTCTCTGCTGGAGCAGAGGTGCTTCACTTGGAGCCAGTGTGGTCAGTATTACAAACTCTCCAGCCACTCTTTTCTACGCTGCCTCAACACTGAAGGTTGTTGACACAGGAAAGTCGCACTGTTCACACACAGTTTCAGACTCCAAGCCGAGGGTGCCACATTCCCATCCTGTGGTCTTTTGGGACTCTGAATTGCCTGAACATCGCTGGGCTTTCCTGAAGTCTTATAATCTGGGATTTGTGGAAACCAGGAATGTGGGCACACCTTTCTTTTTTTTTCTCTCGTGCCTAGTTAATTGGGAATGTTTGGAGGTATGGGGAATCACATAACTGTTACACGTAGGGGCTAATTGCTTAAACATGCCTGGTGGAAGCCTGACAGTGTCTCTGCACGTGACCTCTGACACAGCCCATCCCAGGAGACAGGGTGAAGCCATTCCCCACAATCTCTCCCGTGAACACTGGAGTCTTGCAGGACCCAGGGAGGACCCACTGCTTTTCCCAGGAGGCTCCAGGATTAGGAAACGTGTGTATTTAGTGAAAAATAGGTTTGTAGTGAAATAGTTACTATTTCATGAAAGTAGATATTTTTAGAATTTTTGAAATACCACAGTTTTTCCTGGATTATGAGGAAAGGCACATTACATTTAGTCTTCCTTTCGATAAAACACTTTGAAGAAATATGATTTTTAGAAATCAACTGCCCATTATAGCACAAAATCAGCCAAAGCAGAATTTAAAAGAATTGGCGTTTTAGGATTCTTTTTGTTTCTCCCCCTCCCATCTCAGTCCTATCTTGAGGGAACAGCCATCTCAGAACATTGTCCTGTCTGAGCTGTGATATGTTCCACACATACACACACTGGTGACTCCAGGAACCATTTCCATCTGTTACCAGCGTTCCCTTGGGACGGACTCCTCATAACAGTTCCAAATTCGAGGGAAAGTGATTTTCCTACATGAGGCTTTTTGTTTTTTGGGTTTTTTGTCCAGAAATATTTTCAGCAAAACGCAGTGGAGTTTTATTAAGAATTTATTTGAAAATAATGGAATTCATTGGCCCATGGGTACATTGGAAAATGTATCTTCTTTCTGGCTGTACTGTAGTGCCCTGAAGGCTTGTTTATATGTTCACAGTTTTTTTTTTTTGTTTGGTTTTTTTTAAATAAAAGTCATTTACTGTAGAATACCTTTAATTTCACTTTCTGTATTTTAATTTTGTTGAAGGGCTGATTGGGATTTCCATGTTCTTATTAAAAATCTAACAAATCTATTTGGAGTGGACTAAATTCTTCTTGTGCCAGCTATTCTAAAACCAAGACCAGCCTGGCTGTTGTAGCTCAATGGTTGAGCATCAACCTATGAACCAGGAGGTCACGGTTTGATTCCCAGTCAGGACACATGCTTGGGTTTGCGGGCTCAATCCCCAGTAGGGGGCATGCAGGTGGCAGCTGATCTGTGATTCTTTCATCATTGATGTTTCTATCTCTCCCTCTCCCTTCCTCTCTGAAATCAATAAAAAATACCAAAAAAAAATAAAAAAGCAAGGCCAGGTGGAGGGTGGGGTTGGAAGTGGAGGATGATTTGTTTTCAGATCTTCATTACATTACTACATCCAATTATTATCCTTTGCTTCTGAATTTGTTCCTGATTGGGAGAGGGAAGTGCCAGGTCATTGTGGTTTGAGGGCTTAGGGTGAAGGGAAGGGAGCCACATCAGTTAGAGGATGGGAGGAGGAGTAATTTATTATTTTAGAGGAATGGAGTGGGGAAGGTGGGGTCCTACCTTCCTGGGGAAGTTTGCCTGGGGTGGGGGCGGGGGGCGGTGAAGGCTCATGGGGACCACCTGATAAGGTTCTGGGCAATCAGTGGGAAGGGGAGGGGTCTTCAAAGCAGGAAGCTGGGCTGATCCATCTGGGAGTTGGCGGGAGAAGACCCAAAAGGGATTTGTTTTTATCAAGCAGCAGTGAAAACGGCTTGAAGAGTTAGGACAGACTAGTCTCTAATTAGAAAAGGCCTTTTTAAGAGGAAGTTGTAAAGAATAGCAAGAGGGGTCATTAGAGGCCACTTCTCAAGCCTGTTGGAAAACGACTTCCAAAATGTTTAAGCCTGGAAATACAATTATCAGGGTGGAAATAGATCGCTGTGTGGTTCAAAGATAACGAGTTTGAATAGGACCCTAACAAATACAGAGCCCTGAGCATATCCTTTGAGCCTGGACAGGCACGGGTTGATGCTCTGATCACCCCGATTTCACCTCCACATCAAGGGTAGATGAATGCAGAAGCTCTGAAATGGGCCGGGAAAGGAAAGCAGCGGGGAGAAGGAGTTGTGCAGGTTGGCGCTTTGTTGCTTTGGTGAAAGTCAGAAGGCGGGCTAGGGCTAGCCTACATTCTGGATATGAAAGTCCAGAATTAGGGCATACACAGCTGCCAGTGCTTGCTGATGGAAGTGAAACTGGATGGAGCTCCGGGATCCACCTCCTACCTAGACCCCAGGCCTTCCAAGAAGGTCTGACTCCCCTCCCCCAGAGCATTCACCTTGAGAGCACAGGGCTCCCCTGCAAAGCTTAGGAACCGACAATGCTAAAAAAGCAGGTCAGATTGGGGGGCGGACAGGTGCAGCTATACCTTAGACTTCAGGGGTTCTTGGGTAGATGTCTTTACAGGGCCTGGGACAGAGGAGGAGGAGGGGGGAGGAGGAGGAGGGTTTGCAAGTCATCAGTTGGGAGAAGTAGCCTGGGTTCATATCTCAAGCGCATGATTTAGTGGTTTTGTGACACTTGGCAAATTATTGAACCTCCATAAGCTTCCCATTTCTTTATCTTTGAAATGAGGATAATTATAACCTCTGCCTTAGAGGATGGGCGTGAGGATTCACTGAAATAATGCCTGCGAAGCTCTTAGCACAGGGCCTGGCACAATAAGCACTCAAAGCCATGGCTGTTACTCCTCGTGGGATGTTTGAGCCTGAGGCACGATGTGGGCAGGGCAGGGGCGGGCTGGGCTCAGGAGGGACCCACCGCGAAGGCCTCGGACCTCCGCCAGGCTCTGAGGTCAAAGGCGCATGCCCGGGACAGCAGGTGCGGGGGGCGCGCGGCCTCCCCTTTAAGACTCCCCTTTAAGAACCGCCACCGCCCACGGCCCGCCGCTGCGGCAGGGACCTCCCCTTTAACGCAGGGGCTGGTTGCGGCTGCTGCTGCTGCTGCTGCTGCTGCTGCTGCTGCTGCGGCTCCTGCTGTCACAGTTCGACCGCGGCAGCTGCATCCTCGGCCCTGGCGGGGTCCGCGCCCCGCGCCCCCGCCCGCCATGGTGTCCTGGATCATCTCTCGCCTGGTGGTGTGAGTGCCGCGGCGGGCGGAGGGGCCGGGGCCGGGGCCGGGCTGGGTGGGGGCTGCGGGGTATTGGAGCCGGGATGGACCGCTGGGGCTTCCCACCGCACAGGCACCTAAAGACACCTCGCCCCTATTTGCGGTCCCCAGAGACATCGAGGGTGGGACCCAGGGCGGGGGGCGGGGGGGATATTGAGGAGCCTGGCAGGCCTGGCTGCTACCCCTTTTATCTTGAATTTCCCTGCTCCTTCGCCCTCCCTCATCTAGGGCTGTGCAGCATGGATTGATTTATGGGGGAGGCAGGCATGTCCCTTCCCCCACTTAACAGATATGTCTGCAGGAGCTGCTCGGTCTGGGCCCTCGTCTCCCTGGGGGGAGCTAATGGAAGATGGGGAGCAGGGCAGGGCCTCGTTATTCCCTACTTTAGGGCCATGGCAGCAGCCTTGGCCTCCCTGAAGGGCTGGGTCCCTCCTCCCTCTTCCACTGACTGTCAGGGGTGGGGGAGGAGGGCACATTCTCTGGAGGCCCCCCAGGGGTCCCATCTGGGTGTGGGGAAGCAGAGACGCTTGGGGACAAAGTGTGGGAGGTGACCCGGAGAGGATGCATGTGCTCAGCCTGGGATTGAGAAAGCCAGGAGGGGGGCGTTAGGTGGCCTTCATTCCACAGCCCGCTCCAGGAGGAACCTGCTCCCACAACCCCAGGTTTTGTCCTTGCGGATTCCACCCCCGCCCCAGCCCTCCAGGCCAGGTTGGAAGTCCCCTGCGTCTATGAGGCGGGTCCATGTGGGAACAGGCAGTGCCCCTGCGTTGTGGAAGGGCTGGGCCTGCGGGGGCTCCACAGGAGCCTCAGCCAGCCCTGCCCCATCTCAGGACCCTGGCCCTCAGCTTCCACGGGACTGACACCCCAGAATCCCCTCCCTGCTGCCTTCTTCCCATTCAGCGCTGTCATGTGTTTGTGTCCTGGCTTCCTCTGGACCAGAATCCCCTTCCTTCCTCTTTCCCATCCCACCCAGAGGGATTCCAGGGGCCTCGTTTCATGTGGCCGTCGTCGGAGTGGCTGCTGCTCTCTTGTCGGGATGAGCTCCCTGAGGGGCAGAGCCCTGAGGCCTGGGTGTGGTCTCTAGTGGGATCACCACCAGGTCCACTCCAGCCAGGGCCTGGGTCCTCCCCTGAGACTGGTCCCAGGAGGGTTTGCCTGGGGCAATAAACCTCCTTGCCCCTCACAGGGCTTCCTGCCCCTATGCCCTCTGCTCCCAGGGCCACAGTGGTGCCACCGACTGCCAGGTAGAGTGCCCTGTTAGAGTATCAGGAACCCTTGCCGACTGGCCATGCCCGGCATGGCTATGAGACAGGGCAGATGGGCATGAATGAACATGGTGTTTGGAGAAGGAAGACACCTTTATGGCGGTAACTAGACACCCACTCCCATACAGGTTTGTGCATAACAAAGGATCATGGCTGAAGAGACCACATGGGACCCTCTGGCCTCTGGGTCTTTCTATATCTCAGGGGCTGGAGAGAAACTGGACAATAGAGCGGGGAAGGGACAGCACCTTAGTTGGCTAGGACTTCCATGCTTGTGTGTGACCTGGGCCTTGAGTTCATCAATGCAGCTCCCGTTACCTACCCAGGGGCTGATGCCGAGTGGGAGGGAGAGGCCGCTGCTCTTGGCCGAGGGGCCCAGTAACCATGCCTGCCTCCCTAGGCTCGTCTTTGGCACACTGTACCCAGCCTATTCCTCCTACAAAGCCGTGAAGACTAAAAACGTGAAGGAATATGTGAGTGTATGACCCCTCAGCTCCCACCCAACCCCCATGGCAGACATAGGGGAGGACAGTGGGTCATCGTATAAAGGGGGGGACTGTCCCAATGTTATTGGCACTGATGAGACCCTGGTTCAAAGGCGATTCCTGTGTGTCCCTCTCCCCCGGCCCAGGTGTGACCCTCAGGCAAAGCTGGGGTCCTGCGTGTTCCCTTCCCCACTGAACGCCCAGTGTAGTTGGCAGGCAGAGCCCCGCTCGGGGCAGCGAACAAGGGCCTTCTTGTCCCCCCCAGGGGAAAAAAAATGAGGAGTGGGATAGCCTTCCCCTTTTTTCTTCACGGCGGAAGAAATTCTCGGAGAAACGTGCTGCTCCCGGGGGGGGGCCCACAAACCACCCCCCCTCCCGCCTTGGGGCAGGGGGGATTTGTTTTTTTTTTACCCGGG